TCTAATATTCCTAGCACATCAAGGGCTAAATGATTTATAACCTTTATAGATGATTGTACAAGGGTAACATGGATTTTCCTTCTTAAACACAAATCTGAGGTCAGCTTTGTTTTCTACAGTTTGCTTCAATGATTAAAAATCAATTTAGGGTTAATATAAAAAAATTAGGTCTGATAATGCCAAAGATTAAGCCTAAACACCACGATTGCACCTTCTTCTGTATTTGAGGCATTAATTGACACAAAATGGAAACAAGCCATGGACTTGGAGAAGGCAGTGGACAAACAATACTTGGCAGCTAGTCACCCTACCGCCTAGAAAAAGGGTTACTAGGTGCAAGTGGGTTTATACTGTGAAGTACAAGGCCAATGGGACTATTGAGAGGTATAAAGTGAGGTTGGTGGCCAAGTGATTCACCCAAACATATGGAGTTGATTACTTAGAGAATTTTGCACTNAATTTAGGGTTAATATAAAAAAATTAGGTCTGATAATGCCAAAGATTAAGCCTAAACACCACGATTGCACCTTCTTCTGTATTTGAGGCATTAATTGACACAAAATGGAAACAAGCCATGGACTTGGAGAAGGCAGTGGACAAACAATACTTGGCAGCTAGTCACCCTACCGCCTAGAAAAAGGGTTACTAGGTGCAAGTGGGTTTATACTGTGAAGTACAAGGCCAATGGGACTATTGAGAGGTATAAAGTGAGGTTGGTGGCCAAGTGATTCACCCAAACATATGGAGTTGATTACTTAGAGAATTTTGCACTGGTTGCCAAAATGAACACGATTAGAGTAATTTTGTCATTAGCAGCAAACTATGATTAGGAACTACAACAATTTGATGTAAAAAATGCATTCCTACATGGGGATCTAGAAAAAGAAATATACATGGAGATACCACCTGGGTATACGGGACAGGTTGAGGCCAACATAGTTTGCAAACTAAAACAAGCACTATACTGGTTGAAACAGTAACCAAGAGAATGGTTTGGAAGATTCCCCAAAGTTATGACAAATCTTAAATAGAAACAGAGCCAAGGGCACCACACTTTATTCATCAAACATTCTGATTCAGGGGGTAACAGTACTATTGGTTTATGTGGATGATATAATTATTACTGAGAATGATAAAAAGGAATAATAAAGGTTGAACCAAAGCCTTGCCAAGGAATTCAAAATCAAGACTTTCGGGAAGCTAAAATAATTTTTGGGTATTGAAGTAGCCCATTCCAAGAAAGAAATTTTCATATCCCAACAAAAATATATCACTGATTTGCTACAAGAAACAAGTAAAACTTCCTACAAACCAGTGTTGATCCAAATATAAAGTTGGGAGGTGCAGAGGAAGATGTTTTTGTGGATAATTAAATGTACCAAAGACTTGTGGGAAGACTGATTTACCTATCTCACACTAGGCCAGATATTTCCTTTGTTGTGAGCTTAGTTAGCCAATTTATGCACCAACCAAAGGAAGCACATTTACAAGCTACACTTAGAATGTTCCAGTATTTGAAAGGGACTCTAGGAAGAGGAATTTTGTTCAAAAGAATTAAGAATGCTAGTCTTGAGGCATATACAGATGTTGATTATGCAAGTTCAATTGTGGATAGGAGGTCAATTACTAGATATTGTACCTTTCTTGGTGGAAATCTAGTAACTTGGAAGAGAAAAAACAAAGTGTGGTAGCTAGATCTAGTGTTGAAGCATAATTCCGAGCAATACAAGGAATATGTGAATTTTATGGCTGAAGATTATATTGGAAGACTTAAGGATAAAGTGGGATGAACCTATGAGGTTATATTGTGATAATAAATCTCCAATTAGTATAGCCCACAATCCAGTACAGCATGATAGAACCAAACATAGTGTGGTGGATAGACATTTTATCAAAGAAAAGTTTGACAGTGGTTTGATTTGCAAGCTATAAGTGTCCATTCAAGGTCAACTTGCAGACATATTCACCAAGGGGCTGAGCGGCAATAATTTTGAAAGGAAATGGAAAACACTTATTCACCAGCTTGAGGAGGAGTTTTAAAATATATTTTAGAAAACTTTAGATACTATTCTCATTATTTAATTTGTTATATTTTCAGTATCTTGCTATTATTATATCCAATGTATGTAAGGAAACAAATAATAAGAAATATATTATTTCTCCTAAATTTAATACTTTTGACAAAAATTTCAACAGTGACTGACATTCTTATCCATAAGTGCCAATAAGATTAGGAATTAGGATATATGAAACAACCATTAAATATTTTCTTCGACTTTTTCATTTCATAGAATGAAGGATAAATAAAATTGAAGAGCTGAAATACATCAGGAAAAAAAAGGTTAAAAATAATTGTAGCCTATTTCCATAATGAGTGGCAGCTAAATTCCATGGCACTTTTCACAACTTAAAGTAGCAGACATCACGATACCTCACTAATATACTTGGAGTAGCTATCTTCAACTGGGTATTTTTCACTCGCATAAAACAGCATGTGTTCTGTCAACCAAAAACAAAGAAATAACCAGAATAAAATTCTTGAAATAAATTTCATTTCAAAAAAAAAAAAAAAACAGGTAAACTGTCAGCACCCACCCATTAGCCATTAAAATATAATTCTTGGTATAAATAATAAAGTCCAGATGCTAGAATCTAGTATCTTATTTTTCTCTATTCCTAGCAGTAATGCATAACGTTCTATATCTCAAAGTATGAACCCAAAGTGCTCCAACTACTATCTCCTCTTTTTGATGTCTACACTCTATCCTATCCTCTTATCAAATATATGGATTGCTTAACGTGTTTCCCACTATCACAAAAGGTCCCATTCAAATCCTCTATCTCATTTCCCTCTCCTGTAATACAATACTGGTTATGCTAGTTTCAAATAAATTGTCGCAGTTTCATCACGTTCCCAAACAAATATGGCCGATGTCGCCAAAATTGCGGTAGCGGAAACAAAAAGGCCTTAACATTGAGGCCAAAATCATGCTCATGGACCAGTTTTAAAACCATTATAAAATACAATTGCACTGTCAAACTTCAAACAAGGAATCTTCTTCAGATTCATAACACATCGAACAGAATCCTACACAATTCGAAACCTATACGCGACAATCAAAGCAGGAAAAGGAAAAAATACCGAGGAAATGGGCGAGGCCTTCGAGGCCAGCAGGATCACTGAAGTAACCGACGCCAACGTTCATGGAAGCAGCACACTGCAATGAAAAAAATCGAATCACAGAAACGAAAAAATCGTGAAGTGAGCGAGTGAATTTATACTGAAAAAAGAGAATCTGACCCTATCGGAATCAGAATCAGAGATCGAAGAGGAAGTCGACCTTATCGGTAACGGGATCGCTAATGAGGAGCACTTGGAGCGAGTTGCTAAGCACGACTCTTCTGTAATCCCTCTTGTCGATGCGAGCCTTCACGATTTCCACGTCGTCCTTCACAGCCATTTTCTCCCTCGCTCTGATTACAACCCTAACTCGTTCTTGTTCAGACTCGGTGGCGATGGAAGGTAATGATTGCGTTTTTCTGTTATGTTCCTTGCGCTCGAAACTCGAATTGAGAAGAGTGCTGCGGAAGATTGATATTTCTTGGTGACAAGTAAAAGTAAGGAAAGACGACGACGAAGACTCTATTTTTGTACTGGTAACTGAGTTGGTTCAGTGTATTTGTAATTTGATAAAAAAAATATAAATAAAAATTAGATAAAATACAAATCCATAAAGTTTGTTAAAATAGAGAATAAAAACACATAAAAGATTAAATAATTACTACCATAAAAGAATGTTTTTAATTTGAGTAAAAAGTATGTTAATTTAAATATTAAAAAGTAGGATACGATAGAAAACAATAGTGATCATAGACGGTCTATTGTTTAGATTAATTATGTTCAAGACCATTAATTACATTATAAATGATTGTTTGAAAATCTTAATGAAATATAACAACAATAGTGGACAATTTAGATAAAAAAAAATTAGAAATCAGCATTATTGCGGCGGCTGGCTGACAAGATTCATGCTGATTGTGTTAGTGGAAGAAAATGAACTTGTCGTTTGTGAATTATATTCGGTCAATCTTAGTTACAAAAGGTATAAATATAAAAGAAAATAAGCACAAAAATAATTATTATAAATGTAAAGCCTATACGTCTTTTTAATGTTAGAAATGGATAAGTTATTTTCATGTTACACATTTTATCATAAGTTTTTATTTTTTCATTATTGATAAGTTTATTTACGATTAATATAATAAATGACAAATTAATAACTAGAAGATGAGATTATTTGGTTATATTTAAGATATATAATGACAAATTTTAAGCTAGTAAATATACATATATGATTATATGGTTAATATTTCTACGTCACATATACATTATTTAATGTATTTGGGTTATTATTTATTTAGTTAAAATTATAACGTGAGTTTGTTAGTAAAGTTTTTTTTTTTCAATTTGCAAGAATTTTTAACCTTTTGCAAATTAATCTGCAAGAGTTTTTAAAATTAGACGAATTGACTTAAATTAAAAATCAAGCCGAACAAACTTAATTCAAAGGTCAAGTTAATAAGTTTTAAAACAAAATTAATTTAATTTATCCAATGAAAAAAATTGAAATTCAAGATATATCAATTACTTTATCTAAAATAAATCATAAAAATGAAGATAATTTATTTTAATATAATTCAAATCTCATATTTTAATTTTCAATTTTTTGAAATTGTTAAAATTTCCATATCCGTAAAACAACTTACTTTTTACAAAATTATGCACCAAACTTTTAGAAGAGAAAGATAAAGAATTTAATTTGATCTTTATTGTGATCATCCTTTCTCAATTTTTTACGGTGTATTGAAAAACATTTTCAAGAATATACCTTTTAAAATTGTATAAGAGTGATAAAGAGTTACATATATACCATTAAATATTTTTTAAAATGTCTATTACCCAACAACACATGAAGGCATTCTAAATTGAAATGGCCCCAACTAATTTTCTCGAGAAAAAAAAAATGAAAAACCATAAAACAATGAACACTATGAAAAATACCTTAATAAAAGAAAATAAGGGTCTTGGAACTACGTCTGGCTCTTCCTATAATTCTTCAGGCTCCTCTAGTTCATCAATCATAACGTTTTTTATGTGTGATATTTTGGACCAAAGCTCCCCAACATGGGGTTGATACTTTTTACATAACTTAGGACAACTTCCAATTTTCAAACTTTCAAGTGCAGTGAGGTGGTCGATGTTATCAGGGAGAGATATCAAATTTGGGCAATCTATTAAACGAAGTGCTTTCAGACCAGTCAGAGTTGACAGCCACTCTGGAAAAGTTTCAATATTGGGGCAATCTAAAACAAGCAAGTACTGTAAGGAGTTGGCAGCTTCCTGAAGCCATTCAGGCAAGGCCACCAACTGTGATAATCTTGAAAATGCAACAACTTTTAACTTCAGCTTGGGGCTTTCTTTTTCATGGTGGCTCTTCCACAGTTGCAAGTCCAAATTACCGCAGCCACCAACAAAAAATGTTTCTAATTGAGGAAAATTTTGACTATCCAGCGACAAAGACTTTAGACTCGGACAGTCGAAAACATTCAATGTTTTAAGAGCAGGGAATTTCACCCCTCCGAAGATGGACTCCACATTATGGCATGATTTAATGGACATTATTTCAAGCGAGCCCAAACTGGCAATCTCCTTGTTAGGAAAAACAGATTGCGTTGTGCTAAAGTTAAAATAACGAAGACTGATCAGTTTCCTTAATTTTTTGGGCAATGCTTCAAGCTCCATGCATCCGTCAAGCTTTAACACTTGCAAACTTTGGAGCTTGCAAATAGACTCAGGGAGTCTCTTAATGTTGTCATTGTAGCCTAAGTCCAAATATCTCAGATGTTTCAACTTAGAAAAGTTACGGGGCAAAGTCTCAATTGTCGAAGACCGTAAATCCAAAACTCGCAAGTATTTGAACTTTGACAGACAAGTGTTGAATACCTCTGGAAACAGTATGGTTCTCAAAGCTACCAATTTTTTGGTGAATAAATTACCAAACAAACTGCTTTCAGCAAAAGATAGATGCCGAACATTATCTGGAATATATTTGATGTTGGAACTTAAATGTACACACTCATCCTTTGAAACAAAGAGAGCGAGATCATGCACCAAATCATGTATTCTAAATTTATAAGTAGTGCCAAACTTTACAAAATCTTGAAGAAAAGATCTTGACTGAAGTTCATCCAAATATTGATTGGTCACATATTCAAGTGTCCTGTTCTTTTCTGGTAATGCAATGAGTCCAAGTGCCCCCCAAAGCGAAGTCATTTCATAACTATTGAATACATAATCCTTTGGGTAAAGGGAAAACAATGCAAAACATTGCCTCAAATAGGATGGCAAAAGATCATAACTCAGTTTAAGGGCAGGTAAAATGTCATCATTTTTCTGAGGCAAATTCCAAATTTCATTATGACTCACATATTCCCATTCACTAGCCTCAAATTTCGAGAATAGTAAACAACCTAGTGTTCTCACAGCCAAAGGAACCCCTCTGCATTTTTTCACAATTTGTCTCCCAATGTTTATTAAGTGAGGATGTTTTTCCTCTTCTCCTTCTTTAAATGCCCACTTGACAAATAGAGACAATGAGTCCTCCTCAGAAAGACCTTCTAAATTGTGAGAGGGCAGTGTGCCCATCATGGAAGCAATTGAATGACTACGTGTGGTCACAAGAATTTTACTTCCTGCTGCACTTACTTGGATTAAATTCCTCAGATCAACCCATTTAACACGGTTTTCGTTCCATACGTCATCCAAGACAAGTAGAAACTTTTGACCGAAAAGTTTGTTTGTGAGTTGATTTTGCAATTGCTCCAGATCCAACGTCTTCCATTTGTGTTGTCGAGAAGGAGCATCTGCAGAAGCTAGATCACTGGCAGAATTGATGATTTTGATTATCAGTTGCTTGATATCAAATTCGTCAGAAACACAAACCCACATTCTCAATGGGAAGCACTCCCGGATCTTGTTATCATTGAATACAAACATTGCAAGGGTAGTCTTTCCCAAGCCTCCAATCCCCACAATGGGGATAACAGATAGACTTGTATCATCATCATTAGGATTCTGCTGCATCAAAAGCTCTATGATCTTTTGTTTGTCGTTTTTCCTTCCTATCACATCTGAATCACTCACACGGGAATATGTCATATCTCTCCGATGAACAACACGTGTGTCAACATCAACTATTTGAAGAATAAACTTATGCCTATCAGATGCAATCTTGTCTAGTCTGTTGCTGATATCTTTAATTTGTTGAACCATTTGGTAACGAAAAAGAAGTGGATTAGAGGTTGAGAAGAAGTGACTTACCTTGTCTTTGGTGCTACCATGACCTTTGACCACTTTATTTCGTAGTGTTTCACACTCGAATTCATCCAAAACATCTTCGGCATCCAAGAAGATATTTTTGAGTTGAGTGAGCCATTCTCGCAGCTCATGATTGTGATCTTGCTTTTGTTGAGCATCTAACAGAACAGCCTTAACTAAAGAGAGAGTCTTTCTAAAGTGTCGGAGATTGTCGTACAAACCTACCAATCGAAAAGCTTCTTGAAAAGCATCAGAAGCAAGTTTTGCAACGAGTGAGTCTGCGATGCTGAAGAGAAATGATTCCGCCATACCTAAAATGCAAAAGGCAGAGATGAGATGGAAAGGAAAAACAGTGTTTCTAAGTCAAGTCATGCCACTTGCTCTGCTACCACCGATTTTATTTTATTAAAAAGCAAGAAAACTATTGATATTAGTGTTGTGTCCATAAATTTTAATAATATAATTTCCAGAAAATAGAATTGGTTAAACAAAAAGTTTTTTTGGTTTTAAACAAAAGTTTTTTTTTCATAAATGATAAAAATTAGTAATCATAATATATTTTGAAATTATACTTGTCCAAAGCAATTAAATACCTGGTTTTAGTTTTATCTAGTTGTACTTTAAACAAAAAAAACATACCTAAGAAAGTTGTAATTGAACCTTCTGTAAAATAAATTTCTCTAGAAGCATTTAGCGGAATGGTAGAAAATAATTATGCCAAATCTTAATAAAATAAAAGATAAGATAGTCAACCATTTTTAGACGGGAAGTTTTAGAACCGGTCTAAAATGTTGGTTTACTATTAAAAAAAAATATGCGAAAAAATATATTGTTCAGTAAAAAGAGTTAGTTTTTATTTACCACTCTCAATATTTTACAATGCTACCCTAGACAAAGAAAAGGAGAAAATAATTGTAGCTGTTAGAAATATTATATCTTTTATTTTTATTTTTATCTTTTATCTTTCAGTTAGTTTGTTATTATTTCTTATTTGTATTTTGGACTTAGTCTATATTTCTTCTTTTATCTTTCAGTTAGTTTGTTATTATTTCTTATTTCTATTCTATTATAAATAGAGAACCTTAGTGTGTTTACACAAGGGAGATTAATCCCATATATAATTTTCACTATATTTAACATGGTATCAGAGCAGGTTTTCTGATCTCTTCTGGTGGTCTTTGCTGTCTGCCGGCGGCGGCCGTCATGACCGTCGGCAACCCCTAAAAATTTCATAAGATTCATTTTCTCTTCTTTTAAATCTCAGCACCCAAGAATCAAAGAGACAAGCTCTTGGGAACCACTGGCCTCCTCTGAACCAGCCGCCTTCTCGCAGGCCACCGTCACAGTTCCGACCGGTGACATGGATCTGGACCGTCTCTTCAGCGCGACCTAACCTTGGCGGTCGTCGTCTTTGTCTCGTCTGCATGCGCTGTCACGCGCACTCCACTCTCCGGAAATAGATCTCGAACGCGTGTTCATCACGCGCCGCCTTCTCAGCGTAGGTATCAAACCTAGTCGTCTCACCGAACCTCCCTCTCTCTTTCAGACTTCCAGAGCAGCCATTGCTGCCATCGACGTCTGTCTTCTTCTCCCGCATGCTTCCACATCTTCGGACCTCCTTCTTCTTTTTGCGTTTTTTTGTGCTTCGCCTCTGTAGTAGAGGGTTTCGCCTTGTTAGGGTTTAACGTGTAGAGGGTTTCGCGTAGTAAGTGTAGCTCTGTAGTAGAGGTTTCGCTCGTCATGTAGTAGAGGGTTTCGCCTCTGTAGTAGAGGGTTTCGCCTAGGTAGTAGAGGGTTTCCGCCTCTGGTAAGTAGAGGCGGTTCGCCTCTGTAGTAGAGGGCTTTCGCCTATATATGTTGTTCTGCCTTGTTATTCTTTCTTATTGTATCTGCCGCGGCAGATATGTGCGTGTATGACTCATCTCCGCTGCTCTCTTATCCACTTCTGAAGTTGAAGTGTATTGCCTCCTCTACGCTGCTTCCTTCATCCACTTCTGAAAGTTGAAGTGTTTATTGCCTCACTTCTCAGATGCTATACTTCATTCCACTTATGAAGTTTGAAAGTGTTTATTCCTCCTTTCTTCGCTGCTCTCCTTCATCCCACTTCTGAGTTTGAAGTGTTTGCCTCCTTCTCGCTGCTCTACTTCATCCACTTGAAGTTGAAAGGTGTTTATTGCCTTCTTCGCCGCTGCTCTCCGTCATTCACTTTGAGTTAAGTGTTGATTGCCTCATTCTCACGGCTGTTTGTTCATTGAGATGTGAGACCCATCTCGGCTTGCCTCACACTCTTGAGACAAATCATTATGTTCAAATCAAGGTAAATTATTTTCAAGCTTGGTTCAACAATTTGATGACTCAGCTTGAGGGGGAAGTGTAGAAAGATATATCTTTTATCTTTATCTTTATCTTTATCTTTTATCTGTACTTTTATCTTTCAGTTAGTTTGTATATTCGATATTGGTATTTTGGGCTGAGGGCCCATATTCTTCTTTTATCTTTCAGTTAGTTTGTTATTATTTCTTTATTTATTCTATTATAAATAGAGAACCTTATGGGGTGTGTTTAACACAAGGGAGATTAATCCCATATATAATTTTCACTATATTTAACAGTAGCTTTAGACAAATATAACTTCCACAAATTAATTTATATAATTTTTTATTTATACCAAATATTTTATGTATTAGGGAGAAATTCTTCGAACAGAATTAATTTTGAAAATTTATATATATTTTAGATTAAATAATAGTTTGAGCAATATTACTCTCTTTCAGAACAATGGAGAGATAGTCACGGACGGGTACATTTAGACAAGGTCTGCCCATAATTTTTACTAATGGAAGGTATATCAGATGGAATCATACTAACTTGGAGCTATCTTTACTAAAATAACCAGGTTGTCCGGGGAAAATAAGTGCACTGTTGCTATGACGAGGCTGACTTTGAAAAGCTTTAAAGATCATACAAAGATGATTATCTGTGCCATCAGTGGGTGTCTTACAGACTCGAGTATTGAACAATATATTATTGAAGAAAGTTATTAGTTTTATGTTCAAGAGTCTATTGTGTTGAAAATGATTTGGTTTTTTTAGTTTTATGACTTTTACCCGTTTAGTCTGAAGTTCATGTCTCCCCAATGCTGAGTTTTTTGTTTTGCTTAGGGGGCTAATTAATTTACAATGCTTTCTTTATTTCTGTCGGTAATAATATTTTCTTGTATGTTCTATAAATACAGGGTTGGGAGAGATGATGCCTTTACAACTATGGGAAACAAACCATGGATCCAGAACGGAGGTTACTGAAGAAATTAAAAGTTGAAGTGTTTTTTTTTTCTCTTCTCTTATAGATATTCAGGTAATGTGACCATGCTACCTATTTTTTGAATTTTCTTTACCTGAGTATGTTTGTTTCTATATATTTGTCTAGAAACATTGAACTTCAAGAAAACTAGGGATCCGAATTTGATAAATAATTTAAGGGAAAATCATCCCATACATTTCATACTTTAATATATTTATGCATTTAACAATGTGGAAATTGTTGTGATAACAAGTTTTTCCGAAAATACACTTTGTATTATGACTTACTATGTACGTACATAGATTATTTATAAGCTCTTTGACATGATCATTCAATTATACGTATTAACTATAATTACTATAATTAATGAACTTTATTACATGTTATAATCATTGGTAGAAGTATTTTAAAATCTCTTTAAAACAATTAATATAACAATTTGTAATTATTCACATTTAAGTTTATTCAACGAAATTTCTTTATAAACTTAAATGTTTTTTTTGTTTTTTATTTTTTTTTCTTACATTTCGTCTTTGCGACATCCTACCTCGAGTTTATTTCTTTCATAAATAGTTGAACTCTTGGTTAATTTATAGTTGTGATATTTCACCGATTATTTTTAATATGTCAAACGCGATTTTTATACTAGTAAATAAAATTAAAAAGACAAATACAACTTCTATTTTTTAACAAACTCCTGGATAAATACATACAAGAAATAACAAACTTCTTACAATTGTTTTACCTATTCAACAATACAATTTTATTAGCTTACCCCTCCTTGGGGCTGGTCCTCCACAGCAGTGGCACCAAGAAGGGCAAGTTCTTCTCAATCTTATCTGCTACTTCCTCAATCAATCTCTCTTTATCAGCACTAACTAAATTCTAGGCCTTGGAGAATTCATTATCGAACTCCTTGTATTCTCTGCACCAAGCTCACAATAGGCCAGTATAAGGGTTCTCAGACCTGCATCAGCATATTCATACAAGTGCTCCATGGTTTTCTCTTCAAATTTCCTTCCATTCTTGGCAATTTTTCAAACACGATGCTAATGAAAACAATACTTCAAGGTGGGTCAATAGGGTGAATCCACAAGGATAAATTTTGAATTCATAACCATTTTAAGGTTATAGGCAAGTTTATCACAAACTTGTCTGCACCTTTTGTAAAGAAGCAAAATCTTCCCTTCTTCATCTTCCACTATCACTGACATTCGCTTCCTTAAGCTATTGAATTCTAAAACATTGAGAAGCTTGTATTTCCTGCACATAGAAACCGGTTAATGAAAATATGTATCATAAACGGGAGAAAATAAATCATGAAACATAGTAGATAGAAATAATAAATCCATTGGCTACAGAGCATTTTAGAAATATTAATACTGGGTAGGATTAATAAAGTGAAAACAACATCAAATAGAACGATTACGCAGAAAACTATGATGTAGACACAAATTAAATATTCTTTTTTTTTTTTGTTATTTTAGATATTTGAAAATAGTACAAGTGTAAACTACAAAATCACCTACTCTATGAGCAGCTGCAATAAACTGGTCATGTGAAGAAGATAACTATGCCAACTTCAGATAGTGAAAAATGCTATTTAAAGCTCTTTTTGTTGAAAAGTACTTACTGTTATCAGATGAAAAGTTACTATCAAAGATCATGTGCACTCTCAAAGAGTAACTAGACTAAAGCTTTGCATATCGATATGCAAAGATAAAATGTAGTTGTAGCAGTCAAATTGAAGAGTTATCACATAGACAAAACAATTGATAGCTTGAATGAAACAACTGACCTTTCACGTGATGGATTTTGGTTTAAAATCCAATTTGAATGACTATTGATACAATGGAATGGGAACAATGACAAGGAATATAAAAAAGAACATTCGAAATCCAAGAAGAGGACGCTGAGGTAAAGCAGAATTGGGAGATGGATTAGTGTGGTTCAAGAAAGAAAAAAAAATGACACATATTCTGTTAAATAAACTAACCTAGCAACACACACCAAAATAATGTTTCTGATAA